ATAAAACCTGGAACTCAACGCTATTTCTGACATTTTGGATTGAAAAAGCTTCCTGGATGGAAGAGAAACGTCTTCAAACTTGGAGACAAAGTCCAGTGAATTGATTTTTTAACTTTTGAGGAACAGACTTCCTACAGTCATTACAACCAGAGTGATGTCCTTTGTCGAGGACAGAGAGTTTATCAACTATTACTGTTTTGTTTTCTTACTTTTTAGGAGGAACTTGTCCCACATTGACTCGGACACAAATGACTTTACGGGTCTGCATTCCCACGGAGCACGAGGCGTCGCTGCTGCGCGTTCTCCCCACAGAGGCGTTGGTGGAGGGGATGGAGGAGTCCTCGATGCACTGACCCCAAGGACCTGTTTGCCAGTGATACACGGTGCACGGATGGTCGTTGCAGCTCCTCACCTCTTGCAGTGCACTAACATTGGGACACTGGAGTCCTCCTGCAGTGCAACACAAACAATGAATAGTTTTAGTCCTGGCAAAGCTGTACAGAGGAATACCTTGCTGCATCTGTTTGAGGAAACATGCATACATAGGGGGACTTTAATGGGATTTTTTTAAATAAAGTTTATAAAACTGACTTCACTCAAATTAGGCATCAAGAAGATCTAGAAAACTAGAAAACAACCCGCTAAGACAAAAAAAAGGACACAGGTGGATAATCTTGTTTTCTCTTCTACATGATCTTGGATTTCTCTTTTAAAATTATTTTACATTTCGTTGTGATTTTTGTATTTTGAGCTGGAGAGACTCTCACAGAGAAAAGCTGCGATTAGAAAAGTATTCAAATTATTTATTTTCAAACAGGTAACACACATCATTCACATCTAAGGAAAACCAGCTGATTGCATCGACTCATTGACTCTTCAGCAATCCCTCACACTAAGCATGCTTGTAGCAACAGTGGAGAGGAAAAACTCCCTTTGAACAGGAAGAAACCTCCAGCAGAACCAGGCTCAGTGTGAGCGGCCAGCTTCTGAGGCCCACTGGGGTTCAAGAAGAGGATAAAGACATAAATTAAATAAGATATTTGGCGCCGGGGCCCCGGCAGATGACTTTGATGCTGTGAATTAACATTTTCTTGGGTGAGTAACCTAGAAAAGGATTAGAGTAGTCTTCTCTGGAATAAGCCTTGGATGAGTTGGAATTGAAAATGAGGGAGGAGATGGGATGGAGGTGGGGGAAAGTTAGTCTGCATGCGTTAGTGAGAAGCTAGGCTAGAAGCTAAATGAAGGGGATCTT